GGGAGATAATCATGTGTCAATGTAGGTCCATCAGTTGAAACAAATGTACCACTCTGGTGGGAGATGTTGACAGTGGAGGAGGCTTGGGGGAGGCTGTTGGGGAGCAGGAAGCATATAGAACTCTCTGTACTTTCCATTTAATTTTGCAGTGAACTTAAATAATAGTCAATTTATTATTCTAACTATTGTTCTTGACTTTTTCTGGCTGCTTTTAAGATGATTTTTTCTTTGTATTTGGTTTTCAGTAGCTTGACAATTTCCTTATATATACCCTCCTCCTCCCATATTTATCTTGCTTACAATTTGCAGAGTTGTGTAATGAGTTATTTTTTGTCACATTTGGAGAAATTTTCTACAATATTTCTTTAAATATTTTTCTAGACATATATATATGAGGAGGGATTCCCTCTACCCTACCCCCCAAAAAGGAATTATCTTCTGGAGGGCAGGCCCCTTGTCGTACAGGCTTCCTCCACTATGTGAGTGTTCTAGGAACCCATGTGTATCAGTGCACCAGTTGGCATTGTTGTGAGAGTCTTTTCAGCTTCAGGGAATATTTTCTGAAGACTCTTTCAGTACGTTTGTCCATTTCATGATAGGTGATTTATAAGCCCATTTGCCCACACTGCACTTTGTGTTTAGCAGCTTTTGACCCAAAATTCCATGACCCCCATGTTCCCCCCTCCCTCAAAGCAACTTTATTTTGCTTATCTGGATGATAAAAGTCCTCAAAGGGAAATGTTTTGCAGATGTGGGAGAGGTGAAACAAAAAAAACAGCAAAAGCACTAAAAGGCATCAAAATTGATGAGTACAAAAACTGCTTTGAGCAGTGGAAAAGAGTCTTGGTGTATTGTATCAAATGGAGAGTACTTTGAAGGTGACTGAAGTTTCACTATGTAAGAATAAATATACACATTTTTATAAATAAATTCCAGGATTTGAGAGTCCCGCCTTGTAAAACAAACATAAGAAGTTTCTGAGAAATGGAGCAAAAAAGGAAGCTGTCCTGGGACCTCAGGACCCAAGGCATCATGTGGTGATGGGTTCCCTGGGTGATTTTGCCTCAGATATCACAGAGTGGATACTGGAGAAGACAGCTACCTGGAAATGCCCATTGCTGCAGACAAATAAGCTCCAAGTAAAGCCTACTCTCTCTGGCCAAAGAACTAGGAAAAGGGTAGCCTAGCAAGATAGAAAACTTTCAGATGCTAACTTCTAAAGTCAAACACTACAGAAAAAAAAGAAGGAAAAAAAAACTATGGCACCATCACCACACAAAACAGCAAAGGATGAGAGAAATGTCTAAATGTCCACCATTGCTAGGTTATAACTATGTGCCTCAATTCCTGTGAGGGTGGTGTCAAAGAAGGTTAACTGGGGAGCCAGGACTTTTCACTGCTACTGAGCAATAATGAACCATAAACTACTGGGTCAGTGGAGCCCATTTGGGAAGCCTGGCTTTCTACCCCATCTAGTGATTTCCCTCTCACTGAAAGAAGTCAGAGGAGACCTAGTGGAGAGTCATGATTTTCACTAGCATTTAGTACTAACAAGGCCTTATCTACATGGTATTAGTGGAGGCCACATTGGGGGCAGTAATGAGGTGCCCCTGCCCTTCCCACCCAGAGGGTTATCAGCACTGGCCTAATGGGCAGCCAGAACTCCCACACTTGGCCAGAAGTAACAAGAAGTCCTTCCTCCCTCCATGAGTGTCAACAGAGACTTAGTAGAAAATCTGAAATTCTACTACTACCCAGAAGTAATAATAATCCAAAGACTTAAAAATAATATTAGATAGAGTAGGTAGTAAACTAAGGCAGGGAGGAGGAGGGAAACATGCCTCAACCATTGACTCCACAGTCCTGAGCCTGGTCTGATAAGATTCCCAGGCTTTCCAAATATCACAAGCAGGGATAGCGTAGGAGGACGGGAGCTTTGAGACTTGGTGCTGGTAAAGGGAGCCTCTGTACCAATTTCACTAAGACAAACAGCCTTTACTAGTTGAGAAACAAAGCCTTTGTAGCTGTATATTATCCCCAAAGTTTAGAAGGGGAAGGAGGAAAGGGAACCTAAAAGTTGATTAAGGTATATAATCCTTGAACCCCAATAGTCAGGGCACTCAGATTAGCTAAGCCTACTTCTAGCCTCAGCTCAAGTGTATAGAACAAAATGTCTAACAAACTTACTAACAACTTTATTTCCTATGTATGTGGGGCATTCAGACTAGCTGGGTGTTTGTTTGCAGCTCTGTGCTCAACTGTGTTTCATAAACTTGGTATCTCATTTCCACTATATGTGCTGTCTCTTGCTTGAACTCATCTTTTGTGAGTGAAGGAAGAACCAAGGAACAAGCTCAGTGGGGGACAAGGGGTTCCTGACTTGGGTCTCTTCCCAATAACCATAACATCCAACATGTCCAGATTTCAATAGAAAATCACTCATGAAACCAAGAACCAGGTTCAGTAGCAGAATGCAAGGGAAGAGGGAAAAAATCAGTGAATAAAAGAACACTGGAAATTACTCAGTTTAAACAACAAAAAATAGACTGAAAAAAAAAATGAACAGAGCCTCAGGTACCTGTGAGGCTAAAACAAAAAAAGATCTACTATTTGTGTCATTAGAGTCCTGGAAGGAGCAAAGAAACAGGGCAGAGTTAAAAAAGTATTGAGATAAATAAACATAAGAGTTGAAAATTTCCCAAATTTGTCAAAAGACATAAACATATAGAATTAAATAGCTAAGAGTATTCCAAACAGGACAAATTTAAAGAAATTCATGCCAAAGCATATCACAGTAACACTTCTGAAATGAAAGACAGGAAATCTTGAAAGCAGCAAGAAATAAACACCATATCTCTAGGGAGAAAAACAATTTGAATGGCAGTAGATTTCTCATTAGAAATCATGGAGACCAGAAAGAAGTGGAAACACATTTTTGAACTGTAGAAAGCACTGTCCACCTAGAATTCTATATCCAGCAAAAACATCCTTCAGGAATGGAGAGGAAATGGACATTCTCAGATTAAAAAAACTAAAAGATTTTGCCAATAGCAGATCTAACCTAAGAGAATAAATTTAGAAGTGTTCTAAAGAGAAGGAATTGATAAAAGAAGGAATCTTAGAACATCAGAAAGGAAAAGAATGTGGTAGACCAAATATATGGGAAAACACATTAGATAAATGGAGCAGTCGTAGCTAAAGTGTATGAAGTTTCTTTTTCAGGCAGTAAACATTTCTAAAATTGACTGGTGATGGTTACACTACCTGTGAATATACTAAAAACCATTAAATTATGCACTTTAAATAGGTATAATGTAAGTGAATTATATTTCAATAAAGCTGTTTTTAAAAAACAGAATAGTGGTAGCCTGAGTAAAAGGACATAAGAGAACTTTCTGGTCATGATGAAAAAGTTTTGTATCTTAGTCTAGTTTATGGTAACATGAGTGTACATATACATTAGTCAAAATTAATCAAGTCAAACCCTTACAATTTGTGCCTTTGTTCTTATGACAGTTTTAACTCAATAAAGTATATTAGCAAAAAAATTATTAAGTAATCTCAAATTTCTTTCCAAAGTGCTTTTACCAATTTACACTCATATCAATAGTATATTAGAATTCAGGTGCTCCGCACCTTACCAATTGTAATATTGATAATCTGACAGGATAAATATGGGACTACATTGTGATTTAAATTATCAATCCCTTATTGATAATGAGATTACTCATATTTTCCATTGTTTTTTGGATATCCTTATTTTAAAAAAATTTGATACCATTTGATACCATTGATACTCAATGTTCTGCTGGCATGTTTGGCATTTTATTTCTAAATAATACATACATATATATGTTAAACATACCTTCTCTCAAAATGAATCTTGTTTTCTTTATTATTATGGTGAATTTCAATAACTGAGAAATTTATGATACAAAGTGATATTTAATTATGCAGTTTGTGTATGTGTCTTTTAAAAGAAATAACTCTCTGATACAAATGGTTAAGTTTGTCTCCTATATTGTCTTCAGTCCTCCTAGAAGTGTGCTATGACATATAAATCCAATTTTATTTTAACATTTTCTTGAGTTTTCTTTATTTATATGGCTAACCTATTTTGTTTCCACCTCATATGATGGTTATCTCTTGATAATTTTTTATATTTCACTAATTACTTTTCTATATCTATGCCACTTACATACTTTCTTACTATATATATAGTTTTATAATAAACTTTTATGTCTAGAAGGGTAAAAAAAATTTGTTAGATTACTAGAAAAATGTAAGAAAATGATGGTATTTCTTAAAGAGAATGTTTTATAAACATAAGGGTTTTTATTTTCAAATTCTTCAGATGCTTTTTAATTGTATCAAATTAATCACATGCAAAGTTAAAGACATGGAACTTTTTAATTTCCAAATTAATGTCTTAAGGGTTAAAATTATTTCTTTGCCCTTAACAACATATTCTTTTTCATTTTTATGTCCATTCATCTAAACAATAATGACTATAGGAGTCTACTAAAGGTACTCAAATATATTCTCATTTTTAATTTTTCATATCATTTTTAATTGGACTCAATAACTGCAAATGTGAAGGAGTTTGTAATATTAATGACTTCTATTATCTTACTCTATTTTGAGGAAATCCTGATGTCTGTCTTGAAATGGTCATCATTTTTTATTCAATAGCCTCTGCTCTCTAGTCATTATTCAGTCACCAGGTTGTTGGTGGAATGAAACCTTGCAGAATTTTTGGCCAGGTTTAAATATGAGTGATTGCTTGCTTTGTCTAAGTACATTCATATTTGAATAACTTTGAATGAGAGAGTTATCTCTCATTATCTATTAATGATTTGGACTTATCCAATCCTTTATATGGTTCCTTATTGTTCTCTAGCTGTTAGGAGGATTGAGAGTTAACTGTGCAAAGTCTGAATATAGTATAAGTTTAAGAAATGATCCCATCAAACACTGAAATCCAGGTAACTAAGACTTACCTCTATTTCTTTTCTTAATTTTTCATGTGTCTTATTTTCTACCTGAAGAAAACAAGTATTTTCGATGATAGATTCTTTTATAGTTGTAATTTCATCCTTTAGCTTTGTAATATCTTCCTGTATGTTTATAAAATTGAAAATATAAAGTCAAACAATGAACAATAAATATAAATCCAAGATTTTCAGTGTTTTTATAATATAAGAAAACTAGTCATGATATTTAATTTTGATAAATAGAATTGGAATGTTACTTCTACAGGAGCATATAATAAAAAAACTATTATCTATTATCCCAAGAAACAAACCACAGATTTAAAAATTTAGAACTAAAATCCAAATGAAAATAAGACATAAAGGATAGTGGCACCATGGTAATTATCCAGCAACAGTGTAAAGGATACTTGTAAGTCTCTAGCAACACATAATAGATATTTTAAGTTTGTCTCTTCCACTCTTTTCAAAGAATAGTAAAAAAATAGATGTGTAAACTACAATTATTAATTCATATTGTTTGCATAACAATATTAAGCATTCTAAACTGACTAGTCTTGGCCTGAATCCAATCACTTAGAAGCTAGGGTTTCAACATTTTTGTGAGTCACACTTTCTGCAACAAATGGATTAACTGTTCACCATGATTCTGTTTGACTATGTACTTTCATTAATCTACATGGGAGCTGGGTATGTCTTCTTTACACACTTGCACATTTGGCATAGATGTTACATAAGTCGTGTACTTATTCAAGTTTTTTAAAGTTATGAAAATATTAGTTTCTGAATCTAGTTAGAGCAGCCATGATATTTTATTAAGTTAATGATAGATGTATCACTTAATAAGTGTAAATTTAAAAGAATAGAAAAATATTTAATAAGTGATATTTCAAACCTGTACTTGTTTCATCCAGTTTCCTTCTGGATTCTGGAGATCTTGCCTTAGTTCCTCTTTCATTGTCTTTAGTTTTTTAACAAGATCTTGTTTTTCATGGAGTTCAGTCATAAATGGCCATTTGCTTTCTTCCTCCCTCAAACTGTCCTTATGCACTTTTATTTTTGCATAGTAATCATTATATCTTATCAGGTGTTCCTCAAAATTTTCTTGGGCTGCTTCTATGTCAAATTTAAGTTTTACATTTTCTATATGTAAAGATTTGATTTGCATTTCCAGGTTTTCACACTGACGTTTGCTATTCTCTATGGCAGCATCTTGCTGATAAGTTAGCCTTTCTATTTCTGTAGTTTCTGCAGAAACAGATGCTATTTGTTTTTCCAGATCATGAAATTCATTCTGTAAAATATTTCAACATTATTATTATCAATTCATGATATTCAACATGAGAGAAAAAGTTATTTTTCAATCCATTGTTCAAGCAGGAAACCACAATATGAGAAAATATTTATCAGCTATAGAAAAATGGATGTAAAATGGAAGGAAACATTCAATAACATAACAAGATTGTTATAATTTCAGTGGGAGCCCAGTTATATATTTCTTATTTTTAATAGTTTATTTTTATTGTATTTTTCCATTACCATTTATCTCCCCTCCTGCAATCACCACACAGTTATCTATGTCCGTGAGTCCTTTTCTTTTTGCCAGATCCCTCCACCCCCTAACACCATCCCCCAGAGCTGTCAACCTGCTCTCTATGAGTCTCTATTTTGCTTGTTACTTCAGTTTGTTCATTAGATTCCACATGTAGGTGGGATCATATTGTACTTGTCTTTCTCTGACTGGATTATTTCACTTAGCATAATGTTCTCTGGGTTCATCTATGTTGTCGCAAAGGGTAAAATTTTCTTTTTTATGATATTTCTTATCTTTTACTGTTCATGTAATTCTAAATATTAAAATTTTATTATTTGTTTTAACATCTTATATGTAAAAGATACCTTACAATCATTTAAATGATATATTTATATCAAAATACATACTGAAGAGAGACAACATGATAAAATGATAAAGCCCCGGGTTAAAAAATTGGAAAGACCTATGTTCTAGAGCCCTTACTGTTATTTACCAGTTGTTACCATCACACACAACAAACTTAATCAAACTATCCAAACCTAATTTTTCTTTATTTGTAAAATGAGTGTAAAAATGCTTACCTTTACCTCTCTGTGCATTTGGCAGTTCTAACAAACACTTCCTTTTTTAAATCTTAAAAGATTTTTTTCAAACACAGTTTACATTCAATATTATTTTATATTAGTTTCAGGTGACACAATCATATACTTTACAAAGTGTTTCCTTGATATTTTCAGTACCCATCTGGTGCCATATATAGTTATTCCAATATTATCAACTATATTCCTATGCTGTACTTTATATTCCATGACTATTTTATAACTATCAATCTGTACTTCTCAATTTCTTCATCTTTTTATACCTAGTCCTCCAAACTAACCCACCACCCTGGCAACCATCAGTCTGTTCTCTGTGTCTATGAGTTTGTTTCTTGTTTCCACACTACCGCTCTTCTCTGATTCTCCCCTGATATTTCTGAGCATTCATTTTCAGTCACAATGGTTCCTTCAAATGCAGGTTTTCCTTAGAGTACAGTCATCATAATTTCCTCCTTTCATTATCCACACTTGAGCTACATGTATGCTGATGATTCACAAAACTTAATTTTTGAGTCCTACACCCAGCTGCTACTAGCCATTTCAAATTCAGCATGTCCAAAAATCAGACTAATCCTCCCCTCATTTCCATCCTATTCTTCCTTGTATCAGTTATATATTGTCAGAATGATAAAACCTCAAACACTTAAAAATAAGTGTTTATTGCTTATGTGACTGGAAACAGCTGAAGATTGTGAGACATTGACCTCAGCTAGATTTGCTCAAATGTGTGGAGGTTGGATGGCTTTTAGATAGTTTAGTTTGGCTGACTGAGCCAGCTGGGGTGTCTTGCCTTTGCAACTCACATATCTTATCCTTGACTGAACCAGGCCAGGCATGTTCTTCTCATGATGATATCAAATGCAGAAGAACTGAAGCCCAATTATGGAAGAGGTTTTTCAAGCTTCTGTTTGAATAACATCCTGGCTGGTCACATGATGAAATTCACAGTCAAAGGTTAGATGTATGCCCATCCACTATGGGAGAGCATAATAATGATACATAGCAAAGGGTATGAATATACAAAACAATGAAGAATGGGACCAAAATGCAAATTACCTTATGCCTATTTTCACAAGTACCAAATTAACTAATGGTACTATTTTGGGGGCCAACCTTGTGCCCCTGCTTCTCCTTATTATGTAAATCTAACTGATATCAAACCAACCTTTTTTTTCTATCTAGTATGGTTCTACTCTGAACACTGTTATAATTTTGGGAGGGTGTCACTGCACTAAAAAGCAGACCCAGTCTATCCTTTTCCTGGCAAACAAGAGGGAAGTATACTGAAAAATACAACATGCTGATGAATCTCAGTATTTATCTCCAGTTCTGATATTTCAAATGCCCACTTGACATTTCTATTTCTATAACTAGTAGACATATTAACTATACATGTTCAGAAAAGAACTTTTAATTTACACACTCAATGTGTTCTTTCCCCAGTCATCTAATTTCAATAAACTGTACCACTTTCCACCCGAATACTCAAAAATCTAGAAGTCATTCTTGATTCTTCCCTTTATTTTAACCCCAACACCTACTTACCAGCAAATCTTGATGTTTTAGCCTCCAAAATAAAATCCCAAATTCACTGCTGACCATTTTTTTAGCAGAACTTAGCTTCTAACTGATCATCCTGCTTTCATTCTTCCCCCTGTACCTCAACTAAGTTCCATTAAAAATCAAATCATATTATATATTACTTCCCTGCTTAAGATCCTCTAATGGTTTTCCATTTCATTAATAATAAAATTCAAATCATTAATGTGGTTTACAAGGTCATATATGCTCTAGCCTCTACCTACATTTCCACCTTTCTTATAGTTTTCTCCCCATCTTCCAGCCCCCTTTCTGTTTATTAAATATGCCTAGCTCCCTCCCACCTAAGGGCATTTGTACTTGTCTCTACTTTAGAATTCCCTACCCCTAGCTATTACCTGTTAGTGTCTGCCTTTCACAATTCAGCTTTATTATTAATCCTCAGAGTAGTTTACCCTGAATCAAAATATAAATTAACCACCCACCCTCTTCTCAGAGTTACTCTCTACACATTCTATTGTATTTTTTAACATATCAATCAAGTTAACTTTTGTTTATTTCTTTATTGCTTGCCTCCCCTTACTAGAAAGTAAGCTCCATGGGTATAGTAACCTTGTCTATATCGTCTTTATCACAGTCTTCCCAGTTCTTAAAATAGTACCTGGCACAAAGCAGTGCTCAATAAATATTATTACATGAATGACTAGTGATGAATATGGAATCACCAGGAAAGGGACACATGCCATGCCAAGCAGATCAAGCTGTTGGCCCTATTGATTAATATGGGAAGCCATGGCATTTCCACTGATTTGGCCATCATTTCTTCTCTTTCCTGGACTAATATAATTGACTGTTTACTTTTCTCCCCAGCTTTAGACAGTTCCTCCTACAATCCCTTCCTCCTTCAATCTCGTCCACTAGAATTACATTTCTTGTTGTTGCTGTTCTTCCCCCTCACATTTCCTCCTCCCTCTCCCTCTTTCTTTCCTTCTCTTCCTCTCTTTCTTCTTCTTCCTCTTCCTCCTTTCCCTCCCTCTCTTCCTCTTTTTTTAATTTACAGATTTAATCAAGTATATTTGATGTAAATAAACTGCAGATATTTAAACTTTACAGTGTGATGAATTTTGACATACATTTATGCTCATGAAATCATCATAATGAATATAATAAAAATATCTACTATCCACAAAAGTTTCTTCCTGCTGCTTTACAATCCATCCTTCCCTCCTCATCTCTGTTTCTGGATAACAATTTACCTGCTTTCTGTCATTAAACATTAGCTTACATTTTTGAGAATTTAATATAAATAGAATTATATAAACTATACTTCTTAAAATCTCACTCCTTTCACTCTGCATAATTGAGATTCATCCATGTTGTTGGATGTATCAGTAGCTCTTCCTTTTTATTGCTGAGTAGTTTTCCTTATGTGAATATATCACATTTTGCCTAACCATTCATCTGATGGGCATTTAGGTTGTTTCCAGATTTCCAATGGGCATACACTTTTATTTTTCTTGTGTAAACAAATACCTAGAAATTGAATAACTGGGTAATATGGTAGATATATTTTAACTTCTTAAAAAACTGTAAACTGTTATCCATTGTAAAGTGGTTATACCATTTTACATTCCAAATAACAGCATCTGAGAGTTCTGTTCTTTCATATCTATATCAATGCTTGGTATGATCAGCCTTTTTTTGTATAACTTATTTTTATCTTATTTTTTCATCACCATTTATCCCCCGTATACCCTCTTCCACCTCCATCCACCTCCTCCCCCCTGCAATCACCACATTGCTGCTCATGTTCATGAGTTTTTTCTCACTTTCTTCTTTTTTGCTTATTCTCTTTACCCCTAGATTCTGCTCAGAGCTGTCAGCCTGCTCTCTATCTATGAGTCTGTCTCTAGTTTCTTGTTAGTTTAGTCTGTACATTAGATTCCACATATGAGTGAAATCATATGGTACTTGTCTTTCTCTGGCTTATTTCACTTAGCATGATGTTCTCCAGGTCCATCCATGCTGTCACAAAGGGTAAAATTTTCTTCTTCTTTATGACCAAGTAGTATTCCATGGTGTTAATATACCATAGCTGTTTTATCCACTCATCTACTGATGGACACCTCAGCTGCTTCCATATCTTGATGATCGTAAATAATTGATCGCAATATTCATTGTGTAATATTCATTATGCAACATTCATTGGGTAAATAATACCACAATGAATATAGGGGTGCATGTATTCTTTTGAATTAGTGATTTGAGTTTCTTTGGATAAATTCCCATAAGTGGAATTGCTGGGTCATAAGGCAGTTCCATTTTTAATTTTTTGAGTTAATTCCATACTACTTCCCACAGTGGCTGCATGAACCTGCATTCCCACCAACAGTACACAGGGGTTCCCCTTTCTCCACATCCTTTCCAACACTTATTGTTTGTTGATTTACTGATGATAGCCATTCTGACAGGTGTGAGGTGATATCTCATTGTGGCTTTAATTTGTATTTCTCTGGTGATTAGTGATATAGAGTGTTTTTTCATATGTCTATTGGCCATCTGTATGTCCTCTCTAGAGAAATGTCTATTCAGGTCCTTTGACCATTTTATAATTGGATTGTT